TTTTGTAGTCACGATATTTGTGACATTGGTTGCCACATGCGAAATTGTGAGGGCTAGCTCGGTCAGAGGGGAGTGGGCCGAACGAGTAACAGGTTCACGAATAGGAGACAGCGTGGAGGAAATACCGGGTGATCCAACGAAAGTGGTGCCGGCAAAGCTAGTGGTCGCGAGGGGGGGTGGCTCGAGCGAAACAGCCTGCACTGGGGTCGGAGACCATGTAAAAGCCGGTGGGAAATTCTGAAAAACAGAGTATGGCAAAGAGGTCCGACTTGGAGACGCAAAGTTGGAGGAGAAGGTCACGCCGGAGGAGACGGAACTAATCGCCGGCAGCGATCCAAAAGAGAGAGGAGCGCCGGTCGATTCGGTGGTGCTGGCCGCAGCAGAGGAAAGAGAAGTCGGCTGGCTGAGAGCTGCAGAGGCTTGCGACGACGGCGGAGCTGCCATGGTGAGCTTTGCGTTGGAAAATTGTTGGAGGCGGCGGCTCTAGGGTATTGCACGCGACGCCAGGAGATGATTAGAGAGGATCGGAAAAAAAAAATTAATGTGCTCTGATACCATGTGAGAATAATGGAAAAGGTTACTCCCTAAGGAGCCCTAGCAGATATATTTATAGTAAAGAGAGTTTGATGTAAAGTACAATACTAAGCCTCTAATAATTCTATTAGTTCTGTCTAAAGTTGCGTACTATTGAACTATCAGATTAGATATTGACTGTTCTTTTTTAGATTGACTTTTAGGATCAGATGCCCGGCCTCCTATACTAGTAATGCATGAAAGAACCGAGAGCTGGGAAATAACTCCTGAAGTACAAGAAATGTGGTCTCAAGATGAAGAGACCTCACTCATTGGGCACTATGACTTTTTAAAGGTCAAGAGCACTTGGTTGGGCAATCAAATCCTATCAATGCTGACATCTTATATCACCCATCTGTCTGATTGTGTTGACTGTTGTAGGGAACTCTGCGAGATTTACTGAAAACGCCACTGCCACCTGCACCCCAAGGGCAAAGTTCATCCCTTCAGCAAAGCGAAGAGGTAGAGCCCGTTTTCTTTCTTTTCTTTCTCATCACGAGTTACTCAGTAACCATTTAATGTTCCTTTTTTGAAATGTGGCAGATTGGAAATGTGCAGGGTGCTCTATTAAAGGTGGAGAAGATGGAGATACATCACTGTAATATTTTTACATTATCTGTTAAATTACAATGACTGTATGATAGAAGTTTGTAGTGTAATCTTTGAATACCTTAGGCTTACCATTAGTATCCTTTCATTTCATTTACTGGCTTTTTTTATTTCTAGACGGTGTAAAACAGATCACTCACTTCATAGAAATTCACGTTAAATATCTTTTTGTTTTGAAATATTAGTACAAATTCAGGTATGACCCGGTTCTGGATTGGGACCAGCTGGTTTTTGCGACGAAACTGAACAAGCGAATAAGCGATGATTGTTTATACAATCGAGCATGGGCTTGGCCTTATGATGCTTAGTTTCGATTCCTCCAAAATGGGATCAAATTAGTTGATTTCAGCCCCCATCATGCCCTACTATTTTATATTAAAACAATGAACTGAATCATGGACGATTCCTGGTCCGATATTGTAGAGCAGCATTACGACAATCCCATCCCAACGGGGATGAGTGGAACATCTCCTGTAAATATATGAACGATTTTAGTCCTACCTGGAGCAATTTCTATATTTAGTTTGTCATTGTTACTCACACAACTAATAAGGAGGTTAAAAAGTGGGGTTTGACTTGACAAATATTCCCCTCATGATATTTTACTTCTAAATGTACACATGAACACGTAGTCTCTTGTAGTTTTTCACTATTTGAACTCCCCTATATTGATATTAGAATTACATATGTAGTAATCAGTATTGAGGTAAACCAATTAGAATATAAGATCCCAACACATTAAGTGGGTGAAATTGGATCATCATCAATACAATCTAACTACACCAAATCCTGTAATGATGGTTTTACAACTAGATGAGTAATTGAAAGTGAATAAAATCAAAGTTGAGTATCAAAATATCCATAAAACACTGTACTTTTGTCGTTCTTCTTTCTTTTCTCGTGAACAGGAAGCACCTTAGCCCCGTGCGTTGCGTGAATAGGCTTTTTTATGGCGAAAACCCCAAATTTTTTTAACCTCATAAGTCACAACTCAAGGCTGGTTCATCCCTAATTACGTTAGGACTGAAAAGTGCTAGATTCTCATAACAAAGACAATAGGTAAACCCCTCCCTTCCCGTGGCCACCTTTGACTAGATACCCGGCCCTTCTTCCAAATGTAAAATCGAGCCCATATTAATATGGTGACAACTCCGGTACCTTTCTAAAAACAGAGGTACCGTACCTAGCATTCATTTGATTGGACCACATCACTTTATCAATTTTAATTTAGATTTAAATAATTCAACTGCTACCTTTTCATTGGTCCATGTGGACAAAGGTACGGTACCTTATGGGTACCATAAAAACTACCTATTAATATACTACATCCCTCCTAATGGACTTTGCATTCTGTCTTCCCCCTTTTAATTATTGTGACTTATCACAAAATTAAACCCCAGACAAAACAGGCACAAAGACTTTCAAATGGGCTATCTGAATAAAAGTAAAAGTCAATAGATGGAATAGATAACAAATTATTTTTACTATTGTTTCAAATCGGCACAAAATTCTATCAACAAATGGAAAAAAACTACTACGTGTCTACGTAGTAAGTAGTGTAGGCTTCAACTCCCCTTAGCGAGTACGTATATCATACAACCGGCTGTACGGTGAGCACCGTACAGCCGGCCTAGTAACAAGTCTAAGGGAAAAATAAAAAAATAATTCGGTGGCATTTTTGTAATTAATGCGAAAATCGCGATTTCTGCTAAATGAGCATTAGTGTACTGTTAATGAGCAATAGTCCAATTTTAATGAGTATTAAACGTCTAATAATGAGCACCGCGTTATTACAAGAAAGCTGATATCACAACTAAAAAACGATGTCATTTTCGTAATTTCAATGAAAATCGCGGTTTTCGTTAGATGAGCATCAACCGTATTCTACTGAGCATTAAGAGTATCACAATGAGTATTGTGATATCAACTTCATATATTGTAATTCACTTTCTTTTTCTTATTTTTTCTTTTATAAAATCTTATTAATTTATATCTATAATCAATTGCTATGAATTTCAATATGTGAATCTAATGTAATACGATACTTTTGAAATATACATTGTTATGACATTTTAGAAATGAGCACATCAGTACCAAATGAGCATACGTAACGTACAAATGAGCATTTATATGAAAATCGTAACTTTTGTTAGTTGAGCATCAAGCTTCCTCTATTGAAATTAGGTTTATGCAACTTAGTGAGTATTTGACATGTTTTGTTGAGCATTGGAAGCCTAACAATGAATATCATAATCTGCTTTATATATTCCGGAATTCACTTATTAAATACTACCTCCGTTCTCTTTTAGTTGCAACATTGGACTTTTTTCACTATTCACATGTTCTACTTTGACTACAATTTATTAATTGATATATAATTAATTAAAATTTTAAAAAATATTGTTAAATTCTTCTTATTCTAAAATTTCAAAATATGATTTTTTTTAATTTTTTTACTAATAAGGAATGAAAGATATTAATGGTCAAACTTGTGCGTTGGCAAACGTGAAATGTTGACTGTTGCAATTAAAAAGGAACGGAGGAAGTATTATCTATAATCAACTCATGTGAACTCCAATATGCGTATTTAATGTAATTTGCAACTTTTGAAATATGCATTGATATGACATTTTAAAATGAGTGTAATACCTGTACAAAATGAGCATACATTACTTACCAAATGAGCAATGATATCAAAATTGTAAAATTTGTTAGTTGAGTATCAAGAGATTGTCATTGAACATCAAACTTGCTCTATTGAGTATCAAAAGAATGCAATTGAGTATCATAACCTCTGCTCCCATTATATAACCTAACTCTTATGCATCTAATATGATACTTTTAAAATATGCATTAATATGAAATTTTTAAATGAGCATAAAATCAGTACCACATGAACATACATGGTTTACAAAATGATTATCAAAAAACTTAAAAGCTCGTTTGAGTTCTCTAATATGTTCAAATGTTTATTTGTGCATATTTAGTTTACACTATACTCATTTTAATATAACACAAAACTCATATTAGTTTTTGACACACAATATTTAATAAGTAATAAATACTTATCTTAAAAGTAAAAATAGAAAAACAAAACATTTATACCTAAATAAACAACAAATTAAAGCAAATTATGATTGGAAAAAGTAGAAAAAAAATCTCGACACCATATTAATACGGAGTATTTTATATTATAAATTTTCATAATGATTGAATAAAAATTAAAGCAAAGGCTCTTGAATTAAAAAGTAAAGAAAAAGAGAAAAAGAAAACAACAATTAAAAGACTAACCTAGAGACGAACCATAGAAAGAAACAAACTAAAAGAGAAACTAAAAAAAGCAGAGCAAGCAACGTGCGGAGGGCCTGCGGCTAAGAAAAAACGGCGACTGAAGAAGAATTGGAGAAAGCAGAGCACCGTAGTTATAAGTCTGGAAGTTCAATTTAATTTCAAAAATACCCGGCTGTACGGTGAGCACCGTACAGCCGGTTGTACGGTATAATCTGCGCCCCTTAGCTTGCTTCGAGTATTTTTAACCTTCTTTTATGTATGGAATAAAAGATATAGAGTTAACAGTTTGTGATCTGGATAAATTTTTTAAATCTGCGCATTTCAAAGTTTAAAAATGTCCAAAAATATCCTTCAACATCAATGATCCCATCCAGAAACCAAAATTGAGAAGAATACTAGCTTTCTTGTGGACTAAATGAATTTTGTTAGTTAAGAACACAACCATCACGAAGACAACTCCATTTCTAATTAAAATTAGGAGATAACAATTCAACTACTTCTTAAAAAAATAACTCAATTACTTCAGCAGATAACTAAGTTCAGTTAACATCTTTGTGAGTTAAATGCACATATAAAACTCAAACTAGTCACCACATCATTAAATAAAGTAAATTAATACATCACTAATATGTAAAAATAATTCATAATTCTTAATTATACATTCATAATTCATCATGTATAAGGGAACCTACTTCACTACAATCGATCCTCAGGAATGAAACTTCCATTCTTCTCACATCAAAAGCTACATAAAAATATTGTTGCATTGTGATGCCCATAATACTGAGGCGAGTAGATTGTGCACTGGTTTGATCTCCACGATTGAGTGCTAGCTCAGTTGGTAATATTGCCAAGCAAAAGGTTTGTTCATTGATGTGCTTAAACAAATTAACAATTGTTAATGTGATGGTTCCACCACCTTCGAATTTAAGAAGCACCACTGGAAAGTTGTGTAGATCTCTTTTCAAAACGCCATTGTAGCACAATCTTGGGTACCCATGATAAAACACATAGTTTGGGAACATGTAAGAATCAATCTGTCTTTTGATGGCATATTCAACTTTTGACAATAAATCGAATGGAAAATAGGTGTACGTAGAACCGGAATCAATGATCATTCCGCCGGTGTGATCATTAATGTTTCTTCTATAAGTTGTTGGATTAAACTGCACCGCTTCTTCCCCTATAATAATTCCTTCTAAGTTTATTATATAGTGTCCAGCAAGATACAATTTAGTCTTGGTTCCCCGAAGATCAATTGCATTCCCTACCACTAATGTGTTGTAGGGATAAGATGCATCGTCCAGGTTTCCAATGCAATACGCAAATTTAGAGGCCTTTCTTTGTGATAAAAAAGAAAGGGTACTACGTGGCGAGAGCCCCAATATCCCATTCCCTACAATGTCTGACTCATTCGCACAACCGAATACTACATCTTTCAAAATCTGCGTACTCCTACCCACCTTGAAAGTTTCGCTCCCCAGAACTCCAAATGCACTTTCATTATTAGCATATTTTATGAAAAAGGTACATTTACTACGCTTGTTACCGCGTTGACAGTCAAGAACTACACTAAGACCGGGAAGATCACACACCGAAGTATATAAGCATCTTTCTAGTTGAAAAGTTGAAGATTCATTTGGTATATATATGGGCAGCGGCCATGTGTAATCTTTGGTTGGGCCACACTTTACCCAAAGCAAGGAGGACCCCGTGTCCATATAGAGATATTGATCCACATTTTTAGATCCAACTTTGACATGGGCCAGAAAGCCAACCCCGGGTATTTTAGGCATGATTTGAAAATTTACGTCGGCGTTGGTATGCCATAAAAAGTTGCCAGTATCCCTTCCCAATAGATATGATGCACGATAAAGGGAAGACTCTAATTCAATATAAGCTTTTTCTGTTGGTGTTCTTAAGCTATTAAAATGGGGAGAATCTGGGGGTAAGATATATACTAGCTTGCTTACCATAGTATGGTCCCCTTCGGGAGAGGCATCTGGAAATGACAGGACTTGGAACAGAGACAAGATTATGATAGTGCAAAAAAGTTGGTTAAAAGAAGACATGGTTGAATAGGAGATGCGTAATATTTTCTTTGAAGTTTTTTTTGGAAGGTTCTTTGAAGATTATTATGAAGGGGCTTTATAGATGGAGGTATAGGAAGGATGAAGGGGAATTGGCAGTTAAAGAGTAGGTAGGCAGTGAAAATTGGATGGGTAATAATGACATAAAGAACAAGTTTGGTAGTACGAAAATCGGCAGTTTTGGTTGATTCTGCTTAAGTTTATAAAATTCTAACTGAAGTGACTCCATTGGCTGGTTTTGGTGATTTAAGAAAAAATTATTTTTAAAATATATTTTATCAATAAAATGAAGAAAAAATTACATGTAAAAATAGATTAAATGGTCATCTACAACCTTACAACTTCAGCCAATACAACTAGAACAGTAACTACAACCTTACTTTTTCTATTTATTACACAATTCAGCCCGCGAAAGCAAAAGTTACGTGTTTGGTAAAAAAGTTAACTGACAAGTTTGATAAGCCAAAAACAGTGTTGCCAAACGGGCTCAAAGTAATAATGAATATAGATATAGGTAGGCAATAAAAATTGAATGGGCAAGAATTATTCTCTATTTTGGGTAACCAAGGTCCGACTCATGAAGGGAATCCTATTGGTGCGTGGGTCGAATTCTTAGATTTTACAAATGGGAGTCCAATTCGAGGGGTATTAACTATTAAGTATTCAAAATTGAAAATTGCATGGTGTATACAAAAGTTGTTCATCTTTTTTGTACACTTGTTTGTCCCACTAAACAAGTTGTTATATAAGTTGTCTGTCTAGAGACAAATCTATAGAGTTGTCTATAGACAGATAACTTTTCTGCCGGGAACAGACAAGTGTACAAAAAGTGTACAACTTTTGTTTACACCTAGCTCAACCGTTCAAAATTCTGAAGTTTTTGCTTTTGAGGGAATATGTGGAGATCTTATCAAATCATTTTCCGGGGATGATTTTTTTGGGTTACGTCTCAATTTAGAGTTCCTATTTCAACGGTGGAAGATATATATATATATATATATATATATATATATATATATATATATATATATATATATATATATATATATATATATATATATATATATATATATATATATATATATATATATATATATATATATATATATATATATGGGACTCTAATGAAAATCAGAATATTTGTAAAAAATATCTTCTTGTCATGAGGGATAATTGTTTGCCAAACCAGAAATTTAAATTCTAAAAAAAAATTACTAGAAAAATAATCAACAATCGCATCTTATGTGGACCAGAAGTTAAGCTCGCGTGGAACTTTGAAGACTTAGTGTTTTTTTTTTCCTGTTTTCAGCCCCAGATCAGACTAGACAAGAATAGACCAGACTTAAATAGACCAGAGACAAGACCTGATGAATGCCCTTTATACCAACTGAGTTCCAAGTGAGGTAAGTCTAGAGGGGGGGGTGAATAGACTTTTAAATCTTTTGATTTTTCAGTCCTTTTTTCTCTAACTGAATGTATAGTGTTCCAATATCTTTTGGGAGATATTGAAACATGTAACAAAAGTCTTGACCTCAAGAGGGTAACACTTTATAGAAACAAAGGATATGACTCTTTTAGTTGTGAGAGAGATGGGTTAAACATAATACAAATGTGTTTTCCAGAAACAGATGACTCGAGGAGCAGGCTGCCAAAATCTGAAGGAGTTGGCTTCCAGACAGTTTGGACTCCCAAGGGAGTTGACTACCAAAACCCTTGGGAGAAGGCTGCCAAATGGTGTTTCTGTTTCAATTAGTTAAGGTATAGCAATGAACTATACTCCAACATATTGATAGGATTTAGAACTAGTCTTAACACACGAGTATGAATGATTTAGATCTATAGAGATAGATCACTTTGAAGAATAGATAACAAGGAGATGACTCACAGTGAACTGAGAATGTTCACTGGACTATTTTAGTGAGCAAGTTGTTTTGCTGTGAAGTTGTGAAGGTGAGTGGGTACTGAATCTATGTTAGAAGCAGAATGTAAAAAGGTGACACGAGATGTATCCTGGTTCAGAGGTGGTGTAATCCTCCTACATCCAGTCTCAACCTTTTTCAGATGGATTTCCACTAAATGAATATCCCATTACATTTAATGCCCCAATCTACCCCTGGCTCAGGCGTAGATTGTGAGGTTTTTCACAAGGAACTCAAACACCGTTCCAAGCTACTCAGTCCTCCCAAGTTTTTTCACTAATAGCATTGACTTGCCAACAGCTACTCATGTTCCTAACCTTTCTCACCTTCTGGATTTGATCACAAAGCCATCCAGAATGTCTAACACTAGTCTAGAATACATGGGTGTATGTCTAAACCACTAACTAATCTAAGCTCTATAGACATGTATGAATTGTAGCTAGTCTAAGAGCATTAGATGAGTGGGGTGGTAGCCAAAGTGTAGAAGGAAAATCAGCTGGCTCAGATTGAGCATGTAGAGTTTGATTTCCTTCTATCCACTTGGCTCCTCTCATTTTATCACACTTGGTATTCCCGCACTCCTTCTGTATTTATAGACTTGATCATTGCATCTCCACCGTTAGCTGAGAAAATCAATCTTGACCGTTAGTTGATCTACTTGCTTTGTTCCACTTGACTAAGGCAGCATGATTGGTCTTTGTCACGTAGTGACATGGATCAAATATCTTCAGCTCAACTTGTTTCCTCATTGTTTCCTCATTTCAATGCAAGATTGAATTTCAATGCTTCCTTACAAATAACGAACACTTGCTTTTAGCAAAATAAATTTATAAGAAATTCATAATGTGTTAAAAATCTCTTATAAATTTACTTTTTATCATGTTGATATTTTGACTGCAAGTTGGTCTTTTGTTTAATTGTTTCTGTGCTAAGAGAAGAGAGATTGGATTTCGGATGTCTTGATTGGATTTCCAGATTTCAGCTTGCTGCCAAGAAATCAGCTAGCTGCCAAAATTTGGGTTTAATTTTCCAGTAGGCTTCCTTTTCAATGAATACCAGTTAACTCTTTTTCGTACCTTTTCTTTTTTATCTTTTTCTTTTTGTTTATGGTACGTTACTTCTCTTTTTAGTATTTTTTGCTTTTTATGAGTACTTTATCACTAAATATGGAGCACATTACAAATAAACAAAGTAGAGCATAAGTAGTAGACTAGTCTAATATAAGGATAATAAAAAGGGATGGCATCATCAAAACTATTACATTTAATCATCAAAATCTAGGGGACCTAACAAGACTAGACTTGGATAATTATAAAATTCACAGAGATCGGACATTTACCAGACTAGTTCAAACCAAACTAGACCGGGCTAGACTTAAGCATACCAGACGAGAACAGATCAGACCACACCAGACCAGATCATATCACCAAATTTCAATCCAAAATAAAACATCATTGTTTGAGTGCTAAGGATTCTTTTTTCTCTAACAGGAATTTTTTTTTGGGTAATTTGGGTTGGGTAAGGGTGCTTTCCTTATTGGGAAAGTTTCAGAAATAGGACTGAAATAGTTTAAAAATTCCAAAATAGGACTGTCATGTTTTTATTCCCAAAATAGGACTAATTACTGCCAAGTTTGAAAAATACTACTCCCTCCGTCTCTGATTGTTCTTCCAAATTAAAGTGGCACGGTGATTAAGAAAGTGAGAATTGTGTGGTGGAGAGTTGTGCAGAGGAGAGAGAAATGTTGTGAACCACAAATTCTTTGCCAAAAAGGGAAAGTGAAGTTCTTTTTGGGACGGACGAAAAGGGAAAGTTGGAAGTAATTTTGGGGACAGAGGGAGTACCATGTTTGAAGATTGGTACTGCCAAAACATGGCAGTAATTAGTCCTATTTTAGAAATAAAAACATGACAGTCATATTTTGGAATTTTCAAACCTTTTTAATAATATTTCGGGTAATATTCTCTTCCTTATTTTGTTTTTTTCCTTTTTCCTTTTCCCTTTTCTTGTTCACTTCTTGTTGCTTTGTGTGCTCCATCTTTCCTTGTACTTCTATCGTACGGGTATATATTAATAATATTCCTTTTCTCAAAAAAAAAAAAATATACAAAAAAAAAGTATGATAGGCCAACAAAAATTTAGAGGGAAAATGAATATGAATCTTCCCGTTTGGTAACATTTAGTTGGCTGATTCGGCTGATTCTGCTGAAATTTACAAAGTTTTGGCTGAAGTAGCTGCATTGGTTGATTCTGCTAATTTAAGGAATTTTTTTTAAAAACATATTTTATTAATAAAATAAAAAATAAATTATATGTAAAAATAAACAAGCATGCCTAGTGGGAAGTTTCGAGTTCGAAACCCGCTAGGCACATAAGGGTTCGAAACTCAATGGAGTGAGTTTCAGCTCTGATTATTCCAGGCTCCCCCAACCCTCATCCTCTAGACCCTCCCTGGAGTAACAAAAAAAACTAAATGACATCTACAATAACTTCAGCCAATACAACCAGAGAAGTAACTCCAACTTTACTGTTTCTTATTATTACACAATTCAACACGCAAAAAAAAAAAGTTACGTGTTTGATAAAAAATTGGGAAGAAGAAAAATGATACTGTGTACTACCTCCGTTCCTAAAAAATTCTTCCTCATTTGATTGGGCATGTTTATTAAGAAAGTGGAATAAAGTGGAAATATATGGTTGTGGTTGTTTAAGAAAAAGGTAAAATGAATGTGAACCACACAAATTGTCCAAAAGGGGAAAGTGAGAAGTATTTTTGGGAACAGACCAAAAAGGAAAGTGGGAAGAATTTTTGGGAAGGAGGGAGTATGTATTAATTCAGTATTGGAGATATGTGTGGAAAACCGATAAATAATACTCCCTCCGGTCCTTATTAAAGTTCTCACTTTCCTTTTAGGGATGTCCCTGATTTAAGTTCACACTTCTATTTTAGGAAACAAAACAGTGCAAAACAGTGTCAAACAGTGTCAAACAGTGTCAAACAGTGCCAAACAGTGTCAAACAGTGTCCAAACAGTGCCAAACAGTGCACTCCACAGTAAAGTCAAATTTATTTTCTTAATCTCTGTGAAGTCAAACTACGAACTTGA